ATAAGACTTCGAGTTAAAGTATACAATACAGTTGAATAGTATAGGAAGAGTGAAAATCAATGAATTAGAATTACACGAAAATATTTCGATGATATATCGGTACATGTATTATATTAAATAGGGATTTGATTTACATAAATTTATACAAATACGGCTTTTTTACTGTCGTTCCACGAATGTAATTTAAATATATTTTGTATGATGATTATTTCATTTGAACAATTTGAATTTGATGAAATTGTTAAAAAATGAACAATTAATATTGTTTTCAAGGTTATAAACAAATTGTAAAATGCGAATGAAAAGCATTTAACGCATACATATTCTTATTTTCATCATTTTCTTCAGTAAGTGATTTTATTAGCTTTGATAATAATTTTGCATACAGTTTGATATGAATAAAATAGAACTATTTAATGCAATAACTTATTTTACATGGTCTTATTTTTTTTATTTTAATTTTCTAATAATACATTTCTACTGGCCTTATTTATAATAGTTTTGTATGATTATATATTTTTTATATTATTACCGATACTGGAAGTATTAATCCGCCCATTATTACACATTTTTCAAACTAATTAAGGAACACATTGAAATTAACTAAAGAATAATCGTCCAAAAAATGACGTATATTGGTATTAAAGCAAAGACTCTGTTGAATTTGTATTCAGTAATCCTAAAAATAACTGATCAATAATTCTAAAAAAATTAATAGAACATTTTTTCATCATCTTCGATATTAATAAGGTAAATTTTATTTAAATTTTTCTAGAGCTTTAATAATGCAAACAGATTAATTTCTGTTAAAACAATCATATTTTCGTGAAGCTACTAATGTTCTAACATAATAGGAAGATAACATGAAGTTCTCTAATATTTCATACAAGTTTAATCGGGGGTAATACAAGTATGGGGAATAAATGAAAATATTAATATTTACTTACATAGGAATTAATTAATTTTCTTGTTTTACAATAAAATTTTTATACGGATAATATTTATTATAATATCGCAAAGTTATTTGCTATTTTTTTTAATTTCAACACGGAATGATAATTTAAGGCAGAAGTGCATGAGTAATTTCAATAAAAATTTTATAAGAATTTTCAAATAAAATTAATAAAACATGCTTTATATTTGATATATTTAAATCGATACATATAAATATATCAAGTGTATTAATGATCAAAAATTTCAGCTGATTTTTATTTTTGTCATATTTTAATAAACATAAAATAAAATATTGTTTTATCAAAATAAATTACTATGGATATATTAATATGTATGAATTTGTAGTTTAATCTTTAATGTATTCATTATGCATTTGCATATATATATATATATATATATATGCATGAATAGTATATGTATCAATGGTATAATTATATATTAATATTTAAGTAACCCAATAATACTTGTTATTATTTATTTATTTATTTATTTCAATACTTGTATAATGATTTAACAATTAACGCCATTATTAAACACGGAATAATAATAGAAATTTTGAGGAGTTTTATGTGTGAAGAATAATAAATAAATGATAAAATATTGTAATTATAAATTTCGCTATAAAAATCCGTAGATATATATCAAAACTTTTGTAATTTGACAAATTTTTAATAGTACATACAATACTTCTATTTCCAGAATAATCTAGTGCAATGAGGTAATACAAAGTGTGAAGTGTACTTTGTTTATAAAGCGGAAATTTTTTATAATTTAAGCGACTTTGTTTCAACACATACACTAAACAAGAAAATTGCACATTTTATTAAATATGAGGAGCATTATTTGTAGAATTTACTCAATAATGAATTTACTTTTACTTGAATGGGATTTAATCATATTGTTTAATTTTGGTCATAATATTATTAGCACTTATTAGTAACACTAATAATTCTGAAAAATAAATCATGATTCTTACTGTTAAATAATAAAAAGTATCTATTTAAAAAGTAGTTAATTAGATTTCCATATAATACTTTCATTTACACACATACCCTTTTATCTGTTCACGGCATTTAAAAAAAGTCAAAAATAACAATGTGAAATAAAATTAATTATGTGTCTCATTAATACCGTACACTCCATTAAGGCACTTATTCCTTATTTATGTATGCTCGAAGTTTCGATATTCAATTAACAAAGAAAATATCACCCGATAAATCAAAATAAATTTGTACCAGATTAAAATTTTGATCGGACGCCTCGATCGCCTTTCGCATACAATAAAAAACAATCTTGTATTTAACGTTGGGGAAACCGAAAAAAACGCACGCGTACCGAATACAACCCAATCGGAATAAGAGAAAAAAAAGCGAACCTTTAGCCAAACACAATTTATGCTCTGTAAATTATAATCAAGTAGACACGTGATCAAAATTTGTAAACTACAAATTAACCGATATGGCTAAACATTGAAATTAATGCAGATGCTGATTTCTCGCTAAATTTTACAGGCGGGCCACGTGCAAAATAGACTGCAATTTTTAACTCCTTACATTGTTAATTAATCTTCGCTAATTTTTTTTAGTAATTTTTCAACTAGGCAGAAAAGATAATTAGTAAACTTTTGCATATTTGAAAAAATACTAATAATAGTATACTCATATGATCAACAATGCCTGCGTGACAAAGCTAAAGAACAAAAATTAATAACTCAAAATGACAAATGTTTTTCTAATCGTGACTTACAAGCTCTCATTGAGGAAAGACGATAACATTTTCAAAAGGCGGAGAGTTAAACAAAGATTAAGGAATTGCTTAAATATTAAAATTGCAATTGTGGACTTGTGCATGCCCAAATGAGACGATAATTAGAAAAAAACTGCGAGAAATAGAGTAGGTCAAAGAGTCGACGATTATTGCATTACTCGGCACCAAAAATTTAATAACATAATAATAGCCAAAATCGTAGAAAAGCTCACAGCCAATCGATCTACGGAGTCTGCGCTATAAGGCGAAACGTAAACAAGCCTGTCGAGTTGTCGGAGAAAGCTCTTGCGCCTCACGAATGCTTATCCGGAAAATGCGCATTGCGAGGACTAATTGAAAGGATGCGATTTGTCTTGATCAGTCACGGTCAGAGGGAAGGTTAGAAATGCGCGTGCGCACGCTTTGATCAACGACTGCTTCGGTGACTCACGGAGAAATAGTCGAAGGATACACTGCGGTCGGCGGTGTCTCTTTATGGAGATTGAAAACCTCCGAACTTCCAAGTCGGAGGTAGAACCGGTTGACGCATTTCTGCGATTCGCCGTCGCCGCCGCCGTCGCCGTCGCCACTGCTGCCGCCACCGCCGCTGCCTTACCTTTTTCCTCTGGTCTGTAGTTTATCTAAGACGCAGTGTGCGTGTACGCGACGGTTTTATGATTTTTGTTCTCTCATGTTTGTTCGTCGAGTATCCCGTCTGTAATGTGCTGAGGCTTCGGGGTCCATCGAAAGCAAAATATTCATAATCCTTATGAGTCAGGACTTTCTTCCATTTGCACTTTAAACTTTACCATTGGAATGAAAGGCGATTTGAATGATCGATTGACTTTGAGGCCTCGGAAATATTTAAAAAAGCTTTTCTTTGTTTTTGAAGTTGATTTCGGACTTATGAAATTTGAAAATAATTAGCCAAATCACCAAGTATCTTTTGTAATTTAAAACAAAATTTGCAATCACCATAAATCGATGTGTTAGTTCGCTGCCTTAAAAAATTAATGCAAAATATTATGATTTATATCAGAGAGTAATTCGTTTAAGCTTTTTTAGTTACAAAGTTATTCCGAATGATGACTCCATTATTATGAAGTAATGTGTGGCATAAAATTTTCCATTCGACATTATAGTAATAAAATGTAGCATAAGATCTTTATAATTATATCGTTGCTTTGTAATATTAGTTTGAATTAAACATTTCACATGATCAAGACACGATGTGATACAAATAAAGTATAAATCTCATAAATTTTGTATTTGAGTTTTGATTAACTTTTGTGACACACTCTTTCTACTTTTGACCGAAGATTTCTTTCTAAGAAATCATTATATAATCAGTGTTTATTCATTATTATTTAATAGACTACCAAATAATTAATTAAAAATAAATAATTTCAATTAATTGAGAGAGATTTACTTTCCATTCGATTGATCAATATTTTCTCATTAAAACTAGAGTAACTTTTATTAACTGCAATCTGTAATTCCGAATCTGAAACTTTGAAAATGAATAATGATAATTACCTTATGTAAATGCTATTAACATAATTATATTAATTTAATATACGAACATTATCATCCATCCCGATAGCAAAATATATAAAATAGTAATCTCTTGATATATACACGTTGGTTGCATTCTAATTGTAATATCTGCACATGGAATAATAGTAATAATGAATTAAATAGATAACTGCCTACAATCCAATAAAGCAATTAAAAATTTGTTTAATTTTTTTTCACTTGTAAATACTAGACATATTTACAATAAAATTAAATTGATTTTTTAATTTCAAGATAGGGAGTCTTTGTCTTTGTTTGAGTAAATTTACAATATATTAATGCTATTCAGAACACATAATTTCACTAGGACTGTAATCATAGGAGTAATAGACTAATATATATCATTATTCACTTACCATTAAATCAAACCTAAATTGTATAAGAATCTGTTATTCTCACTTTTCACGTGTGTACATTATTTACCTTATCTACTGCATTCAGCTTTTAATTAAATGTAAATGTCTATTCAAATACTCGTATTTAGCAAGAAGTATCTATATTTATCGTAATGAAACAATCCAATCATCTGAACAATAATTTCCCATTTATTAAAATCTTGTTAAATATTGTACAAAAAAAAAACAGCAAAAAATGTGCTCGTATAATGTCACAAAATCCTAATTTGACTCTGAAGAAAGACTCTAATATACCCCTCTCCGCACGCACGCACGCACGCACGCACGCACACATGCAAGCCACTCTAATCGCTGGTAATCGCATTGCAGGGCTTCCCGTTCGACGACGAGGGCTTCGGACGTAGGGCCGACATTCGCTCGCACCTTGACGATTTAGCCGCTCGTCATCCGGAGTTCGCTGACCAGCTGCTGGGTCCACCCTGGGCTGACGTGCCCTTCCCCGGCGGCGGCGGTGGCGACGGAGGCGGAGGTGGTGGTCTCCTAAACCGAGCCAATCGCAACCGACGCAGCTCCGGAGGCACGGTTCACAATCTCCCGGAGGAGGTAAGTGTCTCATTGCGCACTCAATGCGCACCTCGAACTTGATTGGTGACATTGGGGTCTCAGTGTTCCCTTTTTCTTATCGACCTATCGACATTTTGATAAGAATAGCAACTCGTTTGGTCTTGGATCGATGTCCGACTTTCGCTTGGCAAACACGCTCGCAGTGCTAAAAAATTATCCTTTTTTCAATAATCGAGGGGCTAGTAGTACATTCTCCTACATCGAGATAACCCTATCGCCACCTCGATAAATCCCCCTTCACCTAATGGCGGAAAGAAGCTTACTTTCTCCTGAAAAACGCTCGTAAATCTCGTTTAATCCCGTTAGCCACATTCTAACTATTATCTTTTGCCAAGTTGATTCACTTTACTGTAACCGAATTAACTTCCGACCATGCTCTGGACCGCTATCTGGACGGAGATTCGTAAGGTTTGTAAATTGACGTTTTGCTGCGGTCGGTTTCGCATTTGCAAAGTCACACGCGTAATACAAATGCAGCTAAAACGAAAAGTTGCATCCGAGCTCCATCGACAAATAAGCGTGTGACGATGTTGCAGGACACTCGTTCGCAAGCGAGCTCACAGGGCAGCGGCGAGGTCGAGTCCGAGCGCAAATCCCAGCGGATCCCTCAATACGGTCTGCGCAATACTCTGGACATAGGCCAGCATCAGCATAGTATGGAAAATCCCCAGCAGCAGCGGAACGTGCGCTCCATGTCGGCGCCGCCCGAGAACCGCAATAACCAGGGGGAGAATATCGGCAGCCAGCATCCAGGGCACAGATTTGTTTCGCGTGTCGACATAACGCCACAGGTATTATGGTCGTAGATATTTTGATGCGCCTAGCGTATGATAAAGAGTGTATGGCTGCTTGATTAGTATTAGAAAAACCTTGGGTGTCAAGGCTACCTTTGTTTTCTTTAACAAAGTACACTTCTTAATATTGATTTGATCGATAATTTAAATTGACATAATAGACTTAAGTGTTATAATTTCACGGATTACCACTATCGCAATCAATCTCCATTTCTTTGCCCAAGTATTATATCCTTGCAGTAGGCGAGGAAAATCGTATATAATAAAAATAAAAGCCATCAGCTAATCGGAGAATAAATCCGACTAACGCATTACCATTGCTCATCCGTTCGATAACCGACCACGAATTAATATCAGTCGACCGTGGAATCTTTACAGGGCCCACAGCAACAACCCCTAAATCATAATCAACAGCATCAGCGCGACAAGTCGCCAGCACCGACGCAGAAGCCTCAGCCCCAATCCCAGCAGCAGGGCAACGTCAGACATATACCGATTTTTGTCGAAGGCAGGGACGAGCCCGTCCTGGCCAAAACGAGCACTGACGAACCAGACTACCCCAAGAGGCAGCAGTCGCCGCCCCAGTTTCACAGGCCTTCGCACTACCAGCAGCACTACGAAAAACAGCATCCATCGTCCGAATGGACATCGCACTTTCAGGTAATAAGCTTTCGATGCGATATTTGGATTTGGAGAATAGCTGCGAACTTTGTTGGTGATGTGCGCAAGAGGCACCTCCCGCTAATAGTTTGGTAGTATTATTTATTATCTTTAAATTATGGAGTTTAAATGTCGTATATTAACCCCCCCCCCTTAATCAAACTAAATTAAGTGCGTTTTTCGGTTGTTTTAAAAATTCAAGGCACGTGTTGCAAATCTTCCAGTAATTATGAATTCTGCATGAATATTTATTTCGTAGATCATTTATAGACGTAAAAAAAACAAATAAACAAGCTATTGAAAACAAGATTGTATAAATATGGGCAACGCTGAAGAGTAGAAGTGGTCGATACACGTGTAATAAAATCCAATTGCAGATACTTTATACAGAGAACAATGAGACCGCCAAAACATTATGCACGACACTTTGGCTCGATAAATCGCTTTTTGTATCGAATCGTTTTGTAGGTTGATGTATGATTATGCGAATACGTAGTGAATAATTTTTCATAAATTACGCGCCGTGCTTTCAGCATCGACTTGTGCTCTCAAAATTTCAGACTGATTGGTTTAGTTCTTTAATCGTCTCTACTTTGACGGAATATACTTATTCATGTTTCATCAAGTAAGAAATTATTAAATATTATTTATTCCATTGTCATTTCCACTCTTGTCGAGTCAGACTTTCATGTAGGATTTCAAAAATCACGCGATAAACACATCTTGGATTTAATTATAATATAATTATTAAGTCAGTAATAAAATCAAGATAAATCGATACGCGATCAATCAACCGCAATTAACCATCGCGCATTGCTTGCAGGATCCTTTCTTCAAGGTGCCTAATCGATGGGGCTCGAGAACTCAACAGAGTCACCAACCGGAACCCCCACAACCAACGAATCAACGACCAAAACCTCAGCCGCAAACGCAGCCTCAACACAAACAACAACAACAGCAACAACACCAGCATCACCATCAACAACAACATCCGCAGCAGCGGTACCATCAACCACAACAACAAAGCGAGGTACACCAAGAAGCATCGCCAAAACTTAAACAAACTCAACCGAGAGATCCTTTTGGTAAGAATAAGAATAAATAATTCTACATGTGTGCGAGTGTACTCGATTCTCTTAATGTCAACCAACAGTGCATGATGGAATTGGTCATAATTAAAGTTGCAAAGCTTCGCCTTCCACTTTTTTAACTCAATTTCATTGAAAAATCTGAGTCGATGCTTCGATAATTCTAAGCTATTAATCTAATAAAAGTAACCGATGCCAATTCCCATACTCTATCTACAGAGAGGGTCGCCATGGTACAGAAGGAAGTCGACTCGCTCACGGATCAGGTGCGGCAGTATGGTGGTGGCTCGCGGCAGGACAAGCAGTACATGTATCTGGACGAGATGTTGACGCGCGAGTTGATAAAGCTGGACGACATCGAGACCGAGGGCAAGGAGAACGTGAGGCAAGCTCGTAAGCAGGCCATCAAGAGTATACAGGACTCGATTGGTCTGCTCGAGTCAAAGGCACCACTACCCGGACAGCACCAGCACCAGCAGCAGCAGCAGCTACTCGAGGAGCAAAAGCAATCGGTGATCGAGCCCATGGAAAGTGAGAATAAACCCATGGAAACCATGGAGACGTCCGAGGTGAGTATCACTTTGATTTATTAGTCTAAGAATATTAAATGCCACTGTCACTCAATTATTTGAGGAGAATTATAAAGCCACTGGAATGTGGCGCAAAGTAATTGCAATTTTTCATATTTTTTATTTTAATACAGCGATTTTAAGTTTCAATTGGATAATTCTAGATTAATATTTCATGCGCTTGTAAGTTATAAATATACATGTAGGTATTTATGAATTAAGATTTTTATAAAAATATTAGATTACATATTTGTTAGTAAGTTATTATTAACAATAAAAAGAGTATTATTTAAAAGTAAATATGAATATATCGAAATAAGTCGAATTAGAAACTTAATTCATTTAAATCGTTGATCTCTATATTTTATTAAATAACATTTCAATGAATGATTCATATAAGTCGAAAGTAATATAGATAAAGTGATAAATTGTATATTTAACAACTTTACAAGCGAATATTCTTATACGATTAAATAATGTAAAATGTTACTTTTAACAATTATTTTCGATGAAACTAAATTAAAAAATATTCACAACTTTGCTCAAATAATTGATTGAAATTGAATATCAATAATGATAATAATAATTATAATAATATTAAAACGCTTGTAATTTTTTTCATTTATTTATTTAAAGCCACATCCGCCTAATGGTTATTAGTGACTGCTATTACAAAGTACGTTTGTAAATTTTAATTATAATATGATGTTGCACGTATCGTTATAGTACAATTCCTCATATTACGTTATAATGTTGCGCACCGCATTAGTTAACGTTACATTTTGTCGTAGAAGTCATACCTATCAAAAATGTAATTAATGTTTCATAAAGCATTATATCGTTTAAAAAAAACTCTCATAGTCTATATGTCAGTCGTAAATATATATCATTTCTATATTATCGAGCGAAAACTTATAAACGTTCGTTACTTCCCAGGCACCATCTCCACCAGAGGAACAGAAGGCTATTCCATTGCCCCCTCCAAGTCCACCCTCTCCGACTAAAACTGTTGCAGATATGCAGACACAGGAGAGCAGCATCATCGAAAACTCACAAGGGAGTCAAACTATCGTCCAGAGTCAAGAAGAATCGGGACAGAACATCGCTGACTCTCAGCCGGAATCCGTCCCACAAGATACCACAACCAGCGCTCCAGAAAAGGTATCCGAAAAGCCAGAGGAGAACCAGCGGAACGTCGAACCAACGGAGAACAGCACCGATACTCAACTGCCTCTGACCAATAACAACGAAATGGAAGTTCGGCAATCCTCGCCCGAGAAGGAACTGTTCCTTGGGCAGGAAGGTCAAAAGGCGAATACAGAGGCCGTGGCCAGTGAGCCAAAGCCGAAGCTAGAGACGATCGATGAGCCTGTCATCGAGCCAACCTCCGATACCACCCTAATTGCGTCTATCCCGATTGAGAAAGCGAAGAAAGATCCACCGCCGGTGCCGGCCAAGCCCAACAAGTCCAAAAAAGTCAAGAAACTTAATCAACAATCGGAGCCTGTTTCAGATACGGCCATACCTCTGCCAGCGCCTGGCCAAACGAATTAAGAAACAGAGCTTAGAAGCGAGAGGGAGATTCGATCTGACAAGCAGCGGAGTAGTAAAGGGCCGAGGGAATTAGCAAGGAAGGTTTGGTTTGGCTTGGCTTGGCTTGGCTTGGCTTGGCTTGGCTTGGCTTGGCTCGGCTCGGCTCGGCTTGGCTTGTCGATGGAGTCTGACATTCGTCGACCTTGTGAAATATCCTTGTTGGGACATTGCGAATGCCATTACGCCCTTATATAAAAATGAGTGGCATCGGAAAAGAAAAGACTTGGAAACTGTAAGAAATCCGCTTGAAGAAAATCTGTTGGATGATAACGCGTCTGCTGAAACGACGGTGGTTGGTCGATAATGCGAATTATTTAAATATAGATATAGTAGGCGGATGGTCTCTCAAATGTAAGTGACTGCGAGAGCATGAGTCTTAGCTACTTTATTGGCATTCGGTGTGAAAATTTTTTTTAATACGACTATTGTTGTAATGCGCGGCTACTTTTGAATCCGAATCCAAAAAAGCTTTATAGATAAGCTAAAGTTCGCAAACTCGGTCGAGATCGATCGTTCCTTCTTTTCATTTGTTTGTTTTTTTTTTTGTTTTTCTATTTTTTATAAATAAAATTATAGACACAAAGTGGAAGAAAACATTGATCGTATTTAACGCGGCAAAAATGTGACTTTTTGGATTCCCTTCAATAGCGTTATTCAATACCAAGTAACATTGAATATCCATTTTGTGTTATATACTTTTTCTCTGTCGATTTTTTTTTTCATCGTTATTAAGTGAAATTGTAAATTTTATTTAAGGAAAATTAAAGAGAAGAGAAAATGAGAGAGAGAGAGAGAGAGAGACAGAGAGTATCTACTATGTTCTCATTCAAGGAATACGATTACATTCTTGTCTTTGACGTGGAAATTAGGGAATTGTAGGATGATTATGCTCATATGTATTACTAGATGTGACGATTATAATTAACCTCGCAAGACAAGGCAAGAACATAGTAGATAATTTGTCGCTTCGTCTTGCACTTTGAGCTCGTGTGAAATAATAAGCCACTCACTACCTCCTCTCATTCAAGAATCCGAAATGTTTCCAATCGGCCAACTGTATGCCATAACGACGATTCAGCATAATCGACAGTAGTGCACAAACGATTTGCTTTCTGCGAAATTTTTCCAACAACATTGCACGCATTCACTAAGTAATCGAAATTTAGAATAACGTTTCTAGATCGCATAAATCTCACGAGACCAGCGTAAGCAAAGCTCTCAACATGCGTAAGTGCGACAAGATTTTCCGGTCTAACGACAATTATGCGGCCCTTAGCAAGTAATGGAATTTACGAGTGTAATCCATTGCTTGGCTGATTTCTTTGCTCGGATGAGCATGTATATCGAAATAAAAACAAAACTACTTAAAATAATAAACGAAGCTTCCTATTGAGGCCTACTTCTTGGCCTCTTCCATCTTAGATATTTGTAACGACATAAGCAAGAAAAATTTTCTATTTTATTTTGAATTATCAATGATTATTGCATTCAAGTTTTTAATTTATTGTATGTTCTAAAAAGAGAAGTGGCTGCCTCGAGTGTTGCAGTTGGCATTAAACATAAAGTACATTATTAAGTAATATTGTCATTATGTGACCCTAGGTTATGTGTTCGAGAAATGTTTAGAATTTAAGCATTATTTTATGAAAACAATAAATAAATAAATAATAATTACTAAATAATACCGAATAAAAATACTCGTATTCTCAACATTTATATGATTTTATTTATATTCCACAATCCTTTATCATAATAATCCATATCCAAAACGCAAGTTTTAATTATAGATAACTTCCCATGGCTTCGAAATATAAAGATTTAATAACGGATATCCACAAAGAAAATTGATATCGTTAGGTTATCGAATGACAATTGCAAAATAGCTTATAGGAAATTTATTTTTCCTTCTTAGTCATTTAATCATTTTCATATAATGAATAATGGAGTTGAGGCACAAGAATGCTTGGCCTTTTGAAATTGCACAAATTTTGCATATATAATAAAAATTAAATGACTGAATCCAACGAATCCATTTCTACGTGAATACGCTAAATTTAAATGTTTATTTCTCTTCTATAATCTATAATTTGCATGTACTGAAAAACAGTCATAGACGTTTTTTTAGTTACCATTCCTTGAGCTGCCGTATTGTGATTAAAATAAACGAAACAGGCGACTCTAATGTTTCATTCTATAATGAGGAACGATCTGAAATTGTTTTTATCTTTTTTCGATACGATGCTGAATAAAAAGTAAAATTATGAATTCTGTATATATATATATATATATATTCAATTACATAATTTATAAATTAAAACTTAAACAATATATTAATATTTATTAGCGAAGAATATTGGCGATGAATTCATCTTTCATATTGGTGTAAATATTCATTTTTAAATGCATGTTTTATATACTTTATTGTTTATAATAAATATATTATATAAGTATCTATCGTTATATTAATCAAAATTATAAGGAAAATATATTATCAAAGTATAAATATCTAATACAATGAATATAATTCTTTTTTTTGTCAAGCATATAAATTCAATTGAAAACTACTGTTTTCATTTAATTTTTTTACACATTTTGTTCAACGTAAATTAATTTGGTCATTTTTTGATAAACTATTTAAATAAATAAGTTGGTATAGCATACGTAAGTGAAGTCTTATTTTAATTCTCTAATAAAAAATCTTAAATAAATAATACATTTGTTCCATACGGTGCGTTACTATGTGTAATTAAATTCAGTCATTTTCTAATAAAGAAAAAATAATAACAACGCAAAACTACTTTTAAATTATTAAAAATAAAAATAGAAATATAAGAAATTTTTTGCATAACATTTAATAAGTATTGCAGAAAGCTTCATAACTCTGTATAAGCTTTTAAAGTCTTTGAATGCATGAAATAAAAAGAGTATTTTTCGTGAAATATCCCAGAAAGGAAAATGAAAATTTATATTATATTATATTTAAGAAATGTATATTATTAGCAATTACATTTTATATTTTATTTAGGCGAACTTATGCTTTGCCTGTATTTAAAAAAAATCCCTCGGTTAAAATTTTTCAAACGTTTAACAAATAATATTGCTGGTAAAACTTTATAATTCGAATCATTGTTAAAACATGTATTAAAACGATTGATAATTGATTTTTTGTTTTGTTTTATTTAATTTAATAATATCTCATCGATGTTACCTCACTTTTCCGATCATTTAGCAAAATAAATATTTTAAATAACACTTGATTTTTCTAACTCATATTTTACAACATTATTACTCATTGTTCGTTCGACTATACACATCTAAAGTCAGATGCGAAGTAAATATTTTCCCCGTGAACGATTAAGTTGGGGTTTGACGAAAAAATAATTAAAAAAAAACTTGTGCAATGATAGTTTATTCTATATTAGTGTGAATTTAATTTTAATAAATTTTAATAGTGAATTAACAAAAATTCGAGTACAAAAAATGTCAATTAGTAGCTTTCAAGCTATGTATAAGCCGAGCAAGTTTTTCAACCGTCTTGTTGGCGTTCAGCCAAGGCGACATTATCTGAAAATAAAAGCACGCAAACAGCATTCGTGGATATTTGTCACGCAATAGTCGGCTGCGTGTGCATGAAATCGGGTCTCTAAGGAAGTTAAATATAAAAAAAGATTTTAATATTTAAGATAAGGCGCTAATAAATTGTAAGTCATTAACGAAAAGTGAGATAGATATAATAAAACGTAATAGAAGAAACGTTATGGGAATTTTTACTATTAATTTTTGCTGAATGAACGTCATAAAATTGGATCAAAATAAGAACTTTAATATACAAATAAAGAAATGAAAATACATAACGATTTAATTTTAATTCGACGTAATTAATGTAAATATGTACAATCATACATGATATAGTTATGATTTGCATTAAGTTGGAAAATACCAGTTGTATATCCTTGCTAAATCATATTAATTTTTATTTATTTTTTAATTTTAAATTTATAAGCCCTGTGTTAATTTTTTTTTATAATATATCGTATGTACATAATGTAAAGAAATTAATTTTCCTAGTTCTGCATTTAAAAATTCAGTTTTATAACTCAATGATTAATATACTTTTAAACAATAGTAAGTTTGGTTATTTTTATTTTAAATATAAATAAAAATATTCTACATTCTTTTAGTAAGTAACTAAAATTTTTATTAAATTAATCTAATAACTAAAATGTACATGTATTTTATATAAAGTAAATGTTCTAAATTACATTGTACAGAAACAAAGCAATATAATTGTTTGAACTCAATTTCACTTCATTTAAAAATTGATCATAATAATTTACAAAATAGTATTCTTAATAGTAAATGAATTTCTCTGTGAGAAATTATTAACTTCAAAAAGTTAAAGTATATTGTATATTATTTGTATATCTCCCCCAAAATCGCAAATATTATTTGAAGAACATCGAAGCTATAAAATTCATAGTAAATACTTTTTCTTTAAATAATTACGTAAATATTAAATTATCACAGCTTATACCTACAGTGCAACATCATCTATATATACAAATAAGGTATAGTTTTAAAAAAATTAAATTTAAAAAACACGCTGTGCATAATAGTTCTAATTTGATTTAAATTTCTTAAATCTCTTAAATCAATTCTTTATAATCTGTAACATACATTCGTAAAACTGTATAGTTTGAGTTTACATGCACAATCAGCTTAAAAAATTAAAAAATTGAAAATCGTTTATCGTTCAGAGTTCGGTAATAAAGCACAAAGTTTTTTGTTAAAATGGTAAAAAGCCTAGCAATACATTAAACAAAATTAACAATTACTTCAGTGCTAACAAATAATTATTTTACAAGATATACGCAGTGGCCAGCGTAAATAAAAATAAATAAATCTATTTTCGAAATTATAAAAGACGAAATAAAAATGAATGTCGCATTATTTTTACTTTTGACAATGGCATAGCTGCATTGAAGAAATTGATCCATGTTGGATGAATTTTATAAATGTCCACGGATAAATAATTGTAAAGTCGTATAAAAAGAATTACAATATTAAAATGGATTTTATTAACCTCCTCAATGTACTAAAAAATTTTCTCCTACTTAAAGCTTGACAGTTATTATCAGTGGTCGAATATGAAATAATCAATCGGGTCTACGATTCAAAAGCACCGTATTTAATCGTCTATGGTTATTCAGTCGATGAAGAACTGCTGTCATCTGAATGCTCGTCGCCGGTGTCGAATAGCTAAAATTTTTTAATACCAATAATGTATTTAAAGATAAATGGTAAATTTCTTATATCTAATATTTCCCAATAAATTTAATGTATGCATTAAATATAAACATAGTATAAAAACCTTATCAAATTTAATTTTCTTAAATCAATTGAATTCTTTTATTTTTTATTACATACATCAGAATCTGGATCTTCAAATTCATCCCTAATCTCTTCTCCATATTTCTTCTCCAGAGCAGCTTCTGCCAAAGCCTTCTTAATTATTTTATTCACTGCTGTTACATCATCATCTATTTCAATATCCGATATACTTTGCTTAGCATACTGTTGCAAAATAAACATAAAATCAATTCATTTATTGTACAATTGAAAATGATGAAAATTATTTGATTACCTTTGATGAATCTACTCCTCTTAAATTATCCAAACGTGCTTGAATATTACTATCTGTTTTATCATCAGATTTTGCAATATTAATCCTTTCAAGATATTCATTAATCAAGTCGTCAGTTTTCTGTTGATTGGTTCTTATATCTATTTGCTTTTAACATACCAAAATTTTATTTAATAATAAAAAAATTCATTTTTGCAGCACATTTTGAATAAAAATTTGTTACATGCGTAGGACGATTCACAATATCAGGATCTTCATCCTTTAATATAGCGAGGCGTCTTCTAATTTCATCCTCGGATGGGACAGATAATTGTTTATCCTCTTCCTTAAGTTTTTTAAGTCTATTAATAATTTCATGATCAACAGGATTTAAACCAGCTCTTAAATTATCTAATTTACTGCTTTGTTTATACATTACAATTGGTGGTCTTGCAGGATTTTCTAACGACTCCAACCTTACTCAAAAGTATATATATTTTAACACCCAGTATAACTAAGTATTCCACAATTAAATTATACAATTTATAATAGAATTACAAATAATAGTAATAATAATACAATAATCATTATAACTTAATTTTCCTTATTAAATAGATTTTAGAGATTTGAAATATTATTTCATAATAATATAAGAATATACTTTTTTGTAATATCGATGGGTGGAAGAGGCTTATTTAATTCGTCAGATATATCAATGTCTTCCGTTAAAGTATGTTTTTTTTTCAGCATTTGCAATTTATTATAACAACGTGCACAAATTTTTTTCTCTCCAATATTAGGCAAATTATATCTGTATTGCAAGCATTTGTTACAACAGGCAAATCTACAATTCGGACATCCATTCTTATAATGGAATACATGAAAAACATGAAAATTAATTAATATAATAGCCTGAATATTAATTTTCATTAAATTAATTACTAAATATTGATAATTAAATATTTTCTAAAAATGTTAAAATAGTATTAAGTAAATAGTCGAAAACAATAAAAGACATTTTGGGATATATACAATAACATTATTTATCTCAATATTAATAACGTACTTTATTGATTTGGAATTATGAAAGCAAAGTAAAAGCTTACTTCTTGGGTAAAAAATGAAAATTTCACTTGACAAATATTACAAGACATTTTTAAAAATTAAGTTCTTCTAATTCCTGTTTTATTATTATCTGAATTTCCAATTTAAAAAAAATACTTTACAAGAATTTATATAAAATTATGACATTAAATCGTAATAAAGCTACTGACACCTAAATTGCACTTTTCTTTTTATTTGAGGTTAGATGGCAATCGATTATCGAAAAGGGGTCGTTTCCATTGCTTTTTCAAATAATTTAAATTTAAAATTTGTATACGGATCCAGTAGAATTATATTCTAAAAAAATTTCCATAAATAAATAAAACGTAACGGATTAATTTTGCATCTTCAGTTTTCGCTCGTTAAGTGTTTGTAAATTATATCTAATGTTTTATTTTATTAATCTTTATTTTAATTAAATTCTAAATTAAGCTTTTTTATAAACTTGTTAATTGTAATCAAAATAAAACCTACTGTTTATTATTATTATTATATATATATATATATATATATATATATGTCCATATTTTAATATAATAATGGACAAAACATTGGGCAATTGTAAAAATAGTAAGAAATATTTTTCATTATCGTAAACAATTTAATAAGTTTATTGAAAATTTAATAACGTTCATTTTTGTAGACTTATTAACAATTTTCGAGGGATTAATTATTTTTGATGTGTGGCTGTTAATAAAGGCACGACGACTTCTAAATTTAGTAATTTCATTTATGTCTCGAATATTAAAAATTGTGTTATTTGTACTTATTATTATTGGTAACCCTAGACAATTATTATATTATCAATGCAATGTAGAATATTAAAATTGAATTAAAAATAAACTATTTTGATATAGGATTAGTATTAATGTATAGTTATATTACGCAAACTACATTTCACATAATTAATAGCAAGGATCCTATTGATAACATTAATAATCCAAAAGTCAACCAGTTTTCTAAAACACATGACAATTCACAACTCAACTTAATAAATTTAAAAAAACAATTAATTAGAATAAAAATAGAAACAATGTATATTGAAAAATCACTCTATAAAATGGTAATGGTTTTTAACATATAAAATTTCATTAAATTATAAAAAGAATATATTTTAATTATTTTCAGAATATTCAATTAAAAAACTTATACAATTATCGACAAAATTTAGGTGAGCAAGTTGAGAATAATTGTAGGTATTTAATGAAATAAAATAAAATTACACTTTCCGAATCTCAAAAAATACATGCTTTTAATACAGTTTGGTTATTGAAAAAGTATTGAATGATCTATATTTTGCAGATATAAATTTAGCAGATTTTGCATCGGAGGCCATTGGTGGAATGGTAATCGCTACTCCGAATACTCGAACTTATAACATACCTAAATCGGTCCAAATAACTTTATTTGGTATTCCAGTTTGGAAGCCTAATTATTTCACACCACGTAAAGTCATTCAAGTAAGTTTACTGCGGTAAAAGAAAAATCATAAATTGAAATTGCTGTTGTTTTATTATTGTTTTAATTAAAATATTTTTTAGCCATGGTCCCAAGCTGGTGAATGTTGGGCATTTCGTGGATCGCAAGGAAAAATAGAAATAGAATTAGCTCACACAGCTATTATTGAACGCGTGACTTTAGAACACATTTCATCCTCTGCTTCACTCACAGGAAAGATCACTTCCGCACCAAAGATTTTTAATGTATTGGTAGGAGTTTTTACAATTATATCAATTAGTTCTTTTTTAACAAGGAATTAAATGAGCTTTTGAATATTGATAGGGCAAAATTAAAACCGATTTTGTGAAAATCGATGCATTTGTCTACAAAGATACAGGATTGCCATCACAAACTTTTGAAATCAAAGTATGTATAAATTTTCTTCGTTTTTTATAAGCTTTAACTTCAATAAGACTTATTTTAGGAGCCTAAAATGAAAAATACTCCATTTAAAAGAATAATGCTAGAAATATTGTCAAATTGGGGAAATACAAATTATACCTGCATTTATCGTTTTAAAGTACATGGCAAAATATATCACAAACCTAACAAAAAAGAAAGCCATACGATCGTTCAATAAATTATAAAATTAAGAAAAAATCAATTACATCTTATACAATTAAATAGTTAAGGAAATAAAAGTAGTATAAATAAGGATATTAATATGTTTTTCTGAGCTGATTTTATTACAATTTTCATGTATAAAATGCATTTATCCATGGCAATGATTGATGGAATTACCCCCACTTGTTGCTAGAACCTCCCCAGTTTTGAGTAGCAACCATGTCGTCGGGCTGCGTGGCAGTCCATTCGTCTTGAGGCTAGAAATATAAAAGCACATTTCATTACATAAAGAAAGGTAATATCGTGTGCTAATGATAGACCTGCTTTACAATGTTTGTAAACAAAGCATTCATCTCTTATTGCTTCAGTTTTTCATTTAAATCGTATGATTACAAAATCGCTAATTTAACAATAGGATTTACAATCGTGCACATTGATTTGTATATTGAATATACAAAGCATGAAAGCAATGGCGCCTTAAAGACCATTAGTTATAAAGACGCGATGGATTCACCTTGCCCCATTCGTTGCCAGCGAAGGGAGTCATGGGTGCGGCGGCAACGGGCGCAGCAGCTGCAGGTGGAGCCGCCGGGGTAGCACCTGGAACGGCGTTTTGTTCGGCCTCAGGAGCGGGTACATCGTCGGCCCAGATCTTGGTAGCCGGTGCGTTGGGATCGATGACCTCCGTAGTCCAGTTCTCAGCGACGATGGTCGTAGCGTCCGGCACCGGCACATACTCTTTCACTGCCGGCGCCAATTCCTTAGCCGCTTGTTCTTCCTTCTCGGCCTGAAAATTAATCATCATACAGCTGTAACGCTTATGTTCCTTCTTTACTTACTCTGTTATAATTATGCTAGCAGAGAATTCTTCGATGTAATAATGAATTAATGTATACAGTCGTTTATTAAGTAGAAACAAATAGTTACAATTTAATGTGTATAAAATTATAGTACAAATATAAAGATGCTATTTAAAATTAGGATTTATGTAATTATTAAATTCGAGTTTAAACAATGAATTATAACTTTACTGGTAATTGACCTTGATTGTTGAGTTGAATATCCAAACAGTACATATTTCACAAAAACGATTAAATATATTCTAACGTTGTGTAATAAAATTGAAATCCATAAACTGTCATCAAACATATATTTATCTTATGAATATTATGGCTTGCGTGAACAAAGCTTCAAATGTTAAACAATAATATTTTAATCAGATAATAGTATCTCAAGTACACAAAATTTCCAAAAAGCATAATTAATATAACTGAACAACTGTGGCTGCGAAAATAAAAGTAACGATGAAATACATAATTCACCTCATCAGGATCTCTGTAAAAGAAGAGATCGACCACAACATCCCACTTGATCTCGCGCGGGATGGAGCCCCTGAGACGAAGTACTTCACGAGCAAGAAGCCACCACATAAGTCCAACACTGTGGGGTCCCTTATTGTTGCAGGGTATAGCAATATCGACGAAACGCAGTGGCGAATCGGTGTTGCAGAAGGCAATTACAGGGATATTAACATAGCTCGCTTCTGTGATGGGTTGGTGGTCAGTCGCCGGGTCTGTAACTATGAGCAGCCTCGGCTCGCGGAACGCAGCCTAAAACAGGATGAAATTGCCTATTAATGTAATTGTTGAAGAACGGATTTGAGGACATAGCAGATAGAAGGCTCTAGTATCAGCAAAGATTAAGCCATATGAACCATCAGTTTTCAATTCTGGTCATAATTGTATCATCATACTAGAGACACTAATAAATGTTAGAATTATAACAGTTCCATTTTTACTTACTACTATTACTACTTTTCAATGTCAGAATCTTAAAAAAAATTAAATTTTAAATAAAAACCAGTATCGTTTATCAGTTAAATTTCAATAAGAATAATATTAATAAGTATAAATTACGAGCAAGGTATTACTTTTCAAATACGTGTACAAATAAAAAGAAATATTAACATATGTTTATACATCCATTCTGTAAACTGGAAATATCGTAATTGATTTGAAATTCTAATTTATACCTGAATCTGATTTGTGAAGGCACCAGGAGTAAATCGTCCGGCAATAGGAGTGGCTCCAGTGTGGGCAGCAAATTTCAAAACCGCACGCTGACCATAGGGACGACAACTAATAACGAAAACTTCACTGGGATGTTCAATGGCCACAATGGCACGAGCCGCAAGAAGAAGTTTCTCCCATGTTCTACGCAGATTGATTATATTTACTCCAGCACCTTAAAAATGTATTGAACTATCATTCGTAAACACAATACAATTATTATAAAAGAAATTCACACCTTCATTTAGTTAAAATAAAACTAAAAAAATTAACAAGGAATTAGCTTGAATAAAATTTCAAATTAAAAATGTTATTTACCATCAACACGCCTTTTATAAACATATTGCTCCATTTGAAAATTAACATTTTCAGTACCTAAATGAGTACTGGCTGTTAACATTTTTGTAACATCATCCTCTTTGAGGGTTAAAGGATCGTAACCTCCTGACATCGTAACGTTGTGGTTGAACTACGAGTCAACCTAAAGTAAATGAGACTTTGCTTTAATATATTCGGTCTCCTATTTTGCTTTTCGGTAGAATAGGCAATTAACATTAAAAACAATTCTGCAATAATGTACTTAATAAATTATTGCTGCTTTAGAAGAAAAACAACCACATGGTTAAAAACGCGTGAATTAACCTAAAAGATTTGTCTGAATTTTATTTATTCAATTTCTAAAATAAAATATAATTATGAATTATTGTTACTAACTTAATTGAACAAAGAGAGTATTAACATATTCATTTTTATAGATTGCCTTATGAATAGATAGTAAATTAAGCATTAGAATTTTATAGGCTAAGACACGTGCATTATCACGGTACCGCGGTACAATAATATCAAGCACTTAACAGATTTTTACATAAACCAAAATTAGCCCTATAATAAAGTTGAAGCTCATATTTCATAAAATAGAACTTAAAAGACGAAAATAGCCGTACATTATTAAAAAATCTTTTAAAAAATACAGAAACTTACGTCGATCGATGCCACTAGGAGTATTCCAGTAATGGAAAGGAAGTTCAAGCGGACATCTTAATTATAGAAAACTGTATAGTGTCAAGTTCCAAACTTACAATTTAATTATATTTAATAATAATTATTATTATTTAATAATTAATAAGGAAAATAAAAAATTTTTATTTTATAAAATATTAATTTCTCAATTATTCTATAAAATATATTGTATTTAATCATTCACTCACATGAATCCTACAAGAGCGGGAATACATGAAATTCAAAATTAACATTTTATTATATTTTCTTTTAGTAATTATACATATAATTAATTAAAAATGATGGTTTACTTTTATACCGGGATTCGATGTATTTTAATAATTTTTTGTAGCTCTAATTCCTTTATTATACTTGAATAAACAAATAAAATTTTATAATTAAAATTTACATTGTAAATTAAAAATATATTGTTAAAAGTTGTAATATTGTAAGGTATATTATTTGCGAATGATTTCTTAAGTTTTTAAGTATTTGAAAATTGTTTTACCGGATATTCCACATCATAACAATCGTAGCCAACTTTTTTCTACTTTATTTCTACTTTTATCAAACATAACCCTAGTATAACCGAAGATATCAGTTTTGTAAGTACAATAAATTTCATATTATTTCAAATGATAGCTTGATATAAGACCTTTTACAAAAATACTTTGATCTTTATTTATTTATTTGAATGATTAATTAAAAAATAACTCGGTGTAACAAATTTTTTTTAAATTTATTAACAAGGTTATAGATTGGTGTTTTATTTTATAAATATTTCAAATATCATCTCTATTTAATATTTTTAATATTTGGTAAAAAAAAATATATATATATATATACTTTGGCGTAGTTATTAAATATAATTGTCATTTAGGAATTTTTAATGGAGTATAATTTCAATGATAGCTTTAATAAAGAAAATTTTTTTTTCAAGTGCAATAGATGCATAAGAACATAAATACGACAAAGAAAAAAGATAGACGATGCTATAGAAATAATGTATCCAGCGAATCATAAGACGGTGTTTGTACTAGATCATACGCCATATTTTAGCATCTCAACAGAGAGTCCTTTAGATTTCGACTGCTTAAAAGTCAGAGGCCAACAAAATCTTATCCCGTTACCTCCGGTATGCAAATCACTATGGACAACAAGTATAGAAACGTCAATGGAGTATTGCAGAATTGTTTGGGATTTGTTTCCAACAGGCAAACTGGTATTACATAACACTGATTTAATTTATTGATAATTTTAAGATTACGAACAAAATATGTAATTTTTTTATTTTAATGTAAATTTCTCAGTCTCTGTATATCTTCTTATATTTTATAGGTCCGTTTTGTTGTCAGCGATCATTCAGCACACATATTAAACACATGGAGTCCTTTACAGCAGAATTTGGCGCATGTAAATATTGTTGTCTTTGCGTCTATGCCCTTGACTGTTGTGACTATTTCAAATATACAGCGAGTAGAAATTAATTTGAAACGTTTTCCAGATAATGAATGGCATGGCCATTATTGGAGTACCTTCTAGAAGCCATCAACCAGGTGCTGATTTTTCAGTGATCCATGGTCTGAGAGTCGCCATAGAAGCGCTCACAGAAAGTTCGGAAAATCAGCTGGAGAAAAAAATGGCAGGCCCAGAAGCTGCAAGTAAATTATTGAATAGGGGGAGAGTTATTTGCATCACCAGTGCAAGAGACAATATGAACATGAAGAGTTTAGAAAATATATTTCTAAATCAATTAACCCAACAAAATAAGCAAACCATTGGTTCTGATCAGTAAGTCGTTCCTTGAACATTAACAACTACAATTATAATATATAACATTTGAAAACCTGCCTCTAATTTCAAACAGTCGCAGCATTCTCAATACAAAAAATACTGCTATACCAATCGTTCGAGTATCGTTATTGTTATAATTATTAGTTTTGTTATGCAATTAATGCATGTGTTGCATACATTAATGCATGCATGTTTGATAATGCAATTAATTTCCAACTCATTCGAATTCGCTTTCAGTTTGGTACCGATTCACCACTGTCACCTCGTCATACTAAATATATTCCCAAACACCATCGAATCGCAAGTAACAAGCCAAACTCTACGTGAGGTAAGCCATATTTCTTTAAAATCACCTTTCTCGTTCTAAGCCGAGAAGCAGCCTCTGCACGATGACCTGAGAAACCGCTATTTCTCAGATTTCGCCGCTCCTGTCAATGGAAGTACACTCGATGAAAGCACCGATACTGCATTCCAAGCTCTCTCACCTCATACTCTCGCACTACGATCTAGCGAGCACGACCGTCACTGGGATCCCGATGAAGGAGGAGCAGAATGCGAGCTCATCGGCCAACTACGATGTCGAAATATTTCACTCGTCGGCCGCGCATCTCGCCATCCTTAAAGGTACCTCTAGGCACCTGCTAAACAATCTGTCGATTAACGCGTTCAATCTCTCTTGGCGCAGGCAATCCTCAGGACTCGGCCCTCATCAAGACCTTCCGGCGCTTCGACGAGGGTACAGAGTACGAGACCGTAACCCTTAAGTGGTGCACGCCCCGCGGCTGCAGTGCCAGCGAAATGCAAAACTGTACGGCTATGCACCGCATAACACCCGTCGACGTCAACAGCCGGCCATCCTCCTGTCTCATCAACTTCCTCCTCAATGGGCGCTCGGTCATGCTCGAGATGGCCCGTAAGAGCGGCGGTAAGGCCATATCCCACCTCCTGGCCTCCCACGGTGGCGAGATTTTCATCCACACGCTGTCAACATCTAGGAGCGTTCTCGAGGATCCACCGTCCATCAGCGAGGGTTGCGGCGGCAGGGTCACCGATTATCGCATCACCGTCCGTCATGTTTTACTATGTCTTTCTCTTCATTTACTCTGCTCCCCCCCCCCCTTTTCGTTCCAAACTGAAATATCAAAAATACGGAATTCATAAATGAATCGCTCGGTCTGGATGAAATTATGAAATTAGATTGTATTGAGGAAGATCTGCAGTAGGATAAGCCTTAAACTTATCTCATTATCAACTTTCCTTGACTATAAGGAATATCGTTTTTATCATTATAATAATAACAATGGCCAAGTATAGCGAAGAATCGAAATCGGACTCCACCTAAGATTTGATAATATTCATTTGCTCGCGCTTTACGATCCAGAATGCTCAATTTACAACTTGGTGATACATGAGACTGTGGAGACTCCTTGCAAAATCCGCTGAGTATGTCTGATACATATAAATACGAGGTAATTGTTAATTAGTTTGTACAAGAGAGGCTAAGCGTTGAAGCGTGTTTATCGATAATTTGCCCTTCAATTATTCTCGGTTGAATCCCACATAAAAAAAATAAAGGAGGGGGATGCAGAGACAATACAATCGAGGAATCGAATTCGGATAAAAAAATGTAGCGTAAATAAAGTTGTTTTTTGCATTACGCTAATGATAGGTATTGATTTTCGAATTTACGCACATTCAAAAAACAAATAAGTAGCTCACATAAATTACAGTAATAGATCATTGAATCCATATGGCAACAGTTTTCAAATTAATCTTTTCATCGCCATTTCATATGCCTACAATGCAAACCACCAGTGCTTGCCAATTTCTTCTTGCAAGTTAAAATTATCGAGTAAACATTGATCGACATTTAATTGACAGTAAAGTAAAAACTGGAACATTTCTTTTTAAGAGAAAAATTCATTTTCCCCCCAAGTTTCTTTAAATAATCATATTTTCAACGAATGATTTTATTGAATTTTCTTAAATTAAATTCCATCCCTCTCTAACGGACTGACTGCCTGTCTATCAACTTACCTATATATCTGTCTCTCTTCTCTTTCTCTCTCTCTCTCTCTCTCTCTCTCTCTCTCACTCTCGCACTGTCGCGCTTAAAGAGATGCAGTTAAATAGAAGAATTTTTCGAGCAACATTTATCCTTCGATAATACAGTAGTTGAAAAATCCTTATCAGCAATATAAACTCACTTACTTTGGAAGAGGCCGATCATTTCTTTTGCGCTGAAACCCCCGTCCGCTTTCCAACAACTGCCTTTTATCATGTTGGCAAATGACCAACAATGATGTGTAAAAATACCCTCAACAGGATTTTGGCAGCCTGATGCGAGCCAACGTGCTCGCACCTTTGAAACGCAAGACGATCGATGAAGCCGAAGGTCCAGCCGAGAAGATGCGGTCGCGCCTGGAGAGACACACCAAGTACTGGCCTATAACTATTTCCAATACCCTAATGTTCAATCTAAAACAGGTATCTTCGTTTTTTATGCAATTTGCGTTTGATGATAAATCCTTTCCGATTGACACATAATCGATGATATTCACGCGCTAAACCAAATTAATAGCGTTTACCGATTTATATTTAAAACTAAATTGCTGCCCAAATCGAAGGTAAAGTCGGACTTCTTCCTGGTGAAAGCGTCCAATGATAATTCGTTAAAGCTCGTTGGATAACTGACTCGCGCATTACAAGATGATATAAAATTGCGACTTATAAAATATCTTCGCGGTTGGAGGACATTTAAATGGCAAAGCGTACGAATATGCTTTTTAAAAGCCCTATAAAGACAGGGAGAGACAATCGATGAAGCCTTTTAATAAAACCTGTCGGTCGCTCTTGTCTTAACGAACTCGCAATACAATTTACAATCCCGGAACCTTAAATAGATATTCCGAAATATCTACGAAACGTTTTTTGTTGTATACATAATAGCCAGTAGCCACGCATTCTTTGCAAGAAAATAGAAATCATACGAATATTGTGTAACAATTTTTTTTTTAAGAATTCTAATACCTAATTCCTCTCCACGGGCCTACGAAATTCAATAAACGACACTCACATGCTCTCATCTTCTTCTACTTTACGCAACGAAATAAGATTCAAACTCGAAAAATGTACATGTAGCTATCTTCTTCCATTCCTCGTCCTTTCCCCCGTCCATTACTTTCACTCGCCGTTTAATGCCGATGATGTTCATCGACGGCATATCCTGTGCTTTTACATTTTATTTTTTTATTTTTTTTAACGTCGAAAATCTCTTTTAATGTCTCATACCTTGCCAATGCCAAATATCAACGGCCGGTCGTGAGTTCGCGCAAAAAAATCGTTTCGCGGATTCGTCCAGCGGCCAATCATCATTCGTCGACGGCAAAATAAGTATTAAGCGGCTCTGCGATTATTACGAATCTAAGACGAAAAATGCGAAGATGCCCGATTAAAACGCACGTCTCGACGATCATCGACAGATGATCGAGCCACTGGCGGATCTCGTTCTCAAGGACGATCTCGGCAAAGAGGAAGTACTCCAGTGCAAGCAGATAATCTTCGGACTGCTGCAACTGGAGGCCAAACACGAGAGCCTGCCCCTGCCAAACCTCGGTGGTGGCCGGGGCGGAAAAAGCGGCGTCAGACGCGACGAGCATTACAAGCTGCTCTGGAGCGAGCTCGAGGCCTTCCTCAGGGGCCACTCTGCAACCTCGATCGGCCACTCCGAGGTCCTAAGCTGTCTGCTCGAGGTGCGCAACAAGGACGATAAGGACAAGAACAAGGTGGAACTTGATCAGGCGCTGAGGGAGCTAGACGGGTAAGTCGCAAAGTACACCTTAGACATTGTTTACGTTAAATATATTTACGATCATATATTATCGCTCGCTCGTAGTCATAACTCATGGACAAGTGGTTAGCCGGAAAAATCTTGCCCTCTTTAACGCCGACATACACAGACATTTTTTTTGTTTTTTTTTTTCGATTAGCTTGCGACACCACTCATTTGTGATATGCTTGCTGAATGGTTGTCGATCACGCGGATGAATTTGCTTGTGACTTAACTTTTTAATCGCGAGTGCGTAGTGATAGAGGCTCCTTCACTAAACTGGCTTAGCTTACGAAACAAGGGCAATACGCGCGATGCTCTACTACTGAGATTCGATTGTAGGAATGGGATTTGGGAAAAAAGACTCCGAGGTTTCGAATAATTCCGAGCAAAGCGCGCGTAATAAAAATAATGTATATCGGACCCTAAGTTTACGGCCACTTTCTACGTTTTACACCGGATTTTTTATTATTCTTATTATTCACGGCTCGGTCGTTCGAGGGCATCAGCTCTCGCTAGCCAACGAAATTGTGCTGGCGTCGGGTTCTCGTGGCACGTCGAACTCGTTAAGCCGACCACGTACTCCGACTGGACGCTTTAACGAGAGTTGGAGTTTGTGCCGCGCTCCCATTAATCGCGATGTCGAATCGATCCTTTACCGTTGGACGGATAATAACTTATATAGAAATTGAATCTGTCCTCGCAGGCTGAGCAACGAGGACACGACGACGCGAGCGACTGTTATCCGCGCGACGACAGATTCGCCGATGTCGCCGCCGGGCTGCGTCTCGGTCAACATCGCCAAGCAGCATCAGGTGCAGATGACCAGGAGTCTGCTGGACATCTGGTGCCATCGCAGTGCGCCCCGAGATCGCAAGCCGGATTTTCACGGGCGGTTGAACAGCGACGGAGCCCGAGCTAAGCTCTACCCCAACCTGAAGGAGAACCAAGGGAGGGAGAACCGCGAGCCCGTAATCGAGGCCTGAGATCCCCTAGCGCGAGGTATGCCGAACTTCTGAACTTCTGGTCATTGTCTTCGCGAGCGGAAAGTCAAGAAGGATCGCGAATTACCTATGCGGGCCAACGACGGGCTCACAACTAAAACACGCACAAATCTGTGTCGAGACATCATACCGAATTGTTAAGAAATATCGTTCGCTAATGCTGTGGAAATTGTCCGAATTTGTCGAATGAACGATGCCAGAGTGTCAGAGCGAGATGACATTCGAGTGCATCGCGCATTGTTTAATAACGGGTTTGGTGACGTAGAATGCAAGACATTACGCGCGAAGCTGATATAGTAAGCCGATTTTATTACATACGGCAACCGTTGATAAAGATATTGGAATACAATGTTATCTCTGTCCTGTCATTAAAGAAACACTTGACAATGAAGGTTATGTTTTATGCGCACATGTTTGTACATGCATGTATTTATGTATATAAACCCTTTTAAACGATTAACATACCTGATCCTAAAATTTATTAATTAATTAATTAATAAGAATACTCCTTGACGAAACAATTTTTTAATACACAAGTGTGAATGATACTATGAAACAATGTCGATGCGTATGTTTGTATCGTAACACTGTTGATGCATTTCGTTAAATAACAACTATGTCCTATAAATATTCGTGTAGAACAGTAAATTTACTTTGCAACGGTAATATTAATTTTTTATATTTAACATTGATTCATTAGCACAAAATTATCGAGACTTTATTCGAAATATCCTCGTAAGAGGATTTGTACGTAAGAAGGTGTGTACAAGCCGGAAGCTATTGTTTATATTGAAATTTTGTAAATATATAATGGAAATAAATGCTGCTATTTAATTAATTAAATGTATTGGTATTATTTTTAGAGGAAAATCGATCCCCTTGGAGTCGATGTCAATAAAACCATATGGATTTAATTGAAATGCCTATCAATAAGATTTAAAATACTTGGTAAATATTTAACTCCCAAGTTGTCTTTCGTAATGTATTTTGTACATAACGGATTATCTATTATTAATTAATTCACTCATTATCCACAATAAATAATAATGTCTTGTATTTTCATTAAACTTATTATTGCAGCAGTAAAGCTGTTTTAATGCATATGTAAGTCAAAAGTAACGATACAATTATATTTTACATGAAATTTTGCTGTAGAATTAAGAACAGTATAAAACGAATAATCTACTATATTTTTTTCTAAGACGACATTATTTTTTAATACGACCTATCTAATCGAAATATTATATAACATATTATTATTCTGAAATTGAATTATTTTGACATTATTTTTATGATACGAACATTGTTTTATTAACTTATTATGAAAAAGAAAACTTATTTCTTTTTTCGTTTTTCTCTTTTTCTAGTTTATATTACGTTACACGTTACGTCTTCATTAACTACATTCGCATTATAGTTAATCGTTTAAGCTTCATTGGTATTGATCATAGCCATATCTTTCCCTTTCACTTACAGAAATTTGATTTATAAGAATGCAACAGCACACAGTTCTTCTAAAATAATGTCCAGCAGATAATTCTTCTAAAGCCTACGACTGACTTTAAACCTTATAAACGCTTTAAAGCAAAAGAACCGAAGCAGCTCACTCCCGTCCCCCCATCGACGCACGTCGCACAATCCTAGCGCGAAATTGGCCAAATAGAATGAATGACCCCCTCCCCTAAAGCCCCCACCTGAAAGAAAAAAATCTCGCTAACCCGTTCAAGTGTAATAGCGGATAAAGGAGAAGAATCGATGGGGATTTCGGTGGATTACCGGCGCGTCATGACACTATCGCGCGCCTCGTTACATCGATTTCAAATGTCAATCGCACGCCCGTACACAATCTCGAGTTCAATGACAAAGTGCATGAACATTACGTGTTAAGCGCAACGAAAGTACGGGTGTATTGGTGGCTGCCTGAACGCGCGCGCAATGCCACGTCATAAGGGTCAATGTATCGCTGGCAACGACGTAGACGAGTCGCAGACGAGACGCAATAGACGCGAGGCGTTACGAAATGAGGAAAACAGAGACGGACAGTCTGGATGTGAGTCCGTAAGTGTAAGCGAGCGAGAGGAGAATAAAAGGAACTGGAGTGGGTGTCCTCACGTTTAACGGTCATTTCGCAGTGCCCGTCGATAAGCGGTAATTAAGGTTATTTGCCGGTACGCTTCCCGACGACCTTACTCAAGGCTATAAAAAGAAAAAAAAATAATAAAGAAAGTCACGTAATTTGCTGGCAGTAGGCAGACTTTTTCCTGCCTGGTATCGCGAACTGTTATTAATGTTACAGACTGACGCTTTAAACTTATCTGTGTTCTGAATATGCGATTATGCGTTAGTTACGTTTATAAAATATTACTGAAATACACATTTTTTATTTATTTCAATTTTTTAACAAGTGCGCCATTGATAACCGTAGCTACCAAAGTAATATTAAGCTTAGCTTTATATTTCTAAGCGTACTAAAGATAAATCATAAGCACTGTACGATGTCTTTTTCATATAAGTTAGATATATTTTACAAAAACAGTATAATATATAATAAAACGTAGATTTACTTATAAATTCAACGCCATTAAATTATAATATTAAAATATATACTTATCAAATTAGGGTCGAAACTTTTAATTCATCTTTATTTCTCGATAATTGATAAAATGAAAAAATAAAAAGTTAAAAACTATCCAACGAACATACGCGAGTTTGGAAATTTTATAATTTTTATGTTAAATAAAATAGATTACTTAAATTTTAATCGTAAGCTTAATACATACAATTAATTCACATTGTGAAAAACGTTATTATATACTTTTTATAAAAAGAAATGACGTGATCTGTAAACCTATAATAGTGTATCTTAAAAATATATATTTAATAAATATATTATTAAAAAAAAAAATATATATATATATATAGTATATTAAAATGCAACTACTCGGTGAATAATAACATTACAACAGTTTTAAACCAATTCCAAAGTAGATCAACTTTATGAAATTATAAGTTTTACTTTTAAGGTAGTAGTTTATAAATGGTCGTAATGCCTAAAATTGAATTAAATACTATTTGAATTTAAGTTAGAAAAGATAGTGTGTCATTTAGTTAGGAAACTCTTTAAATACCAATTTAACGTCATTAAAATTTGATTGTCATTTTCAATATTTGAACTTGCTTTTATGCAAAAACAGAACAGAGAAGTGAAAGTGATAACAGAAAGATAGTAAAGATAAAAAAAACGTTTTTATAATATGATTTTTTACTTAAAAAATATTATCTAATAAATTGGCAATGACTGAAAACAAAAATATTTATAATATACGAATGAAAAACTCAAATGAAAATCAAAATTTTACATTTGCACAATAAATTTCTATTAAAACAATATATTATAATTTATTCAATTGATATTGTCCATGAAATGAATCAACTTTGTCTAGTAATTACTTTGTATACAAAATAAATAAAATAAATTTATAGATATATAATGAAGAAAGAGTTATACCCATATTCAATATCCTTATTCGCTAACAAAAAATACTAAACAATGTGCCCATTATCATTACGAAGTAATTTATTATCAGTTACAAAACGTCTAGAGTATTATTGTATTAAAATATTATTAATAATCTTAATTTACCGTTTAAATCTATATAATCTGTATTATCTAACATTTATTTATTTCACGTTTTTTCGTTTGTTCTAAATTTTACATGCTACGTACATTTTTTCTTATTATATCTTATTAATACTAGTACATTGAATAAACTATACACATTTTTAGAATGCTTAATTAAATTGAAATGTTCATCTAATTAATTATAAAGACTTTATAAAGATTTTACCTACTTTGTGTACAATTCTTAAAATTAAATTAAACGAAAAAATGTAAAAATTGTATGCATTATGCAATGTTCAGTGTTAACATTCATCCGCTTTGCCAGATTAAGTATTTTTTAAAACATTCCTTTTAAATAAAAATTTAATTTTTCCAAAACCTTGAAACAAATAAAAAATTACAGCTATTAATTTTATTTTATATACATTTAAAAAATATTATTAAAATGTAGGCAATTAGAAAAAATTATTATATACTATTTCTTGTTGAAACATTAAAAATGACATTTCTTAAGGAAGTTATATATATATTTTTTTTTTAATATTTCTTCTTAAATAATTAACACAATATAAAAAATATTCGAAAATATTAAATGTTAAAGATATTTGATTACAAAATATAGTGTAAGTGTATGAATATATAAATAATTATTGATATTGAATATTTAAGCATTTTTATTTGTTATAATTTGTCATAATATCTAGAAATTGAAAAGCTATTATATTTGCACATTTTATATGGATCTATTATATTCTGCAATATAAAGATATTTTATGAATTATTCATTATTTGTCGGCGTAAGTTGCTCTAAATATAGGTAAATAGCTCTTAATTAATGAGTATTATATATGAATTTGAATTATTCATATTAAAAATCTCGGAATTATCTGCCATACGAAATCGTGAATGCATTTTCTCAAAATTTTGAATTTCAAATTTGGATATCACTGTGAAATTTAGTTTGAGTGATAAAAATTTATCGGTTACTTTTTAAATAAATAATACTATGTAATCGTTAAATCTGATTGTAAAATTTTAATATCAAAATCAATTAGTTTACTCGTGCATTTTTTAATCACATGTGTGAAGTACATTTATATTTCTCACATAAAAGTTGATTGATTAATGATCAAAGTTATTGTAGTGCTACTTTCATTACTCTCCATACATAAAATATTTATTACTTCATTTATTCTACAGAAAAAAAACAACAATCGATTTTTCGAATTTTCTCAATTATTTAATAACGTTTCATAACAGTACAATATGACATTATGCAGATGCAGCATTCAAATGTTGATAAGTTCTTTCACATATGCGCGAGAGAAACATTAACAAGATAATGCGATAAATGACGAAGAAGGTCAAATGACACATTAAAGATATTGAAGAATAAAAGAAAAAAGCGGTTTTGAATTTTCAATTATGTGCTATTTTTTGTTAAAGCATTACA